TGAGCTCGACCTTTGAATTTACTATTTGAGTACATTGTTAAACACGTCCGAATTTATTAATACCATAAATTCGCGCAATAACTTAGTGGGATAGATGAACCTAACCCTAATCTAACCCCAACTCTATAACCCCTTACCCTAATATAATCTTAATCTAACCCTAATCTAAACTTGATTATATATATATATATATATATATATATATATATATATATATATATATATATATATATATATATATATATATATATATATATATATATATATATATATATATATATTAAAACGCGAGGCGCAGCCGAGCGTTTTAGATATGATAAAACGCGAGTTCGAGTGTTTTGAATAGCTTAAAATACGACTACAAAAGATATAATTTATTCGGTTGTTTATTTGTAGGTACACTGACAACGCGAGAGCACAAGACGCCATGAACATTACGTTTTTTCATTGGGGAATCCACGGATGGATTGTTTACACTCTAGTCGGTCTTCTCATGGCTTTCATAGCGTACAGGAAAGATCTCCCGATGACCATTCGCTCGTGTTTTTACCCAATACTTGGAGACAGGATCTTTGGAATCGTTGGCGACATCATTGACATATTCTCCGTCGTTTCAACCATGTTTGGTGTAGCTACAAGCCTTGGGATTGGTGTGAAAACATTGAATTCTGGTTTGAATCGTATGCACAGTGGGGTCGAGGAAACAACGAATAATCAAATCATCATCATTTGGGCAATCACGTGTTTCGCCACGATATCAGTTGTTTCCGGACTTAAACTTGGAATTCGCCGGATCAGTGAAGTATGCTTCGGACTTGGCATATTTCTAATGCTGTTCGTTTTCTTTCATGACAACACGTGGTTTTTTCTCAACTTGTATGTTCAAAGTATTGGGTACTATTTCCAGTATATAGTGCAATATGCATTCCATACAGATGCATTCGCCCAACTTGGTAACGCCCCGGATGGGAAACAAGCGGTTAATTGGATGGATGAGTGGACAGTGTTTTACTGGGGATGGTGGATTACATGGTCACCATTTGTTGGTATGTTTATTGCAAAGATTTCTCGTGGTCGAACTGTCAGAAGTTTTATCAACGCCACTCTAACTGCACCTATCCTCTATCTATTCCTTTGGTTCACCATATTCGGTGGGGCTGGATTGAAAATGGAGCGTGATGCGGCCAAGGCTGGTATCAACTGCAGTTCGACGTTGGGAGGAGAAAACGCGACGGAACCATTCAACAGGCTATTTCGCCTATCTTGTAGAACTGACAGTCAAATGTATTTCGACGTTATCCAGCAGTATGGCAACAATCTGGGAGGATTTTTAAGAGTCGTCTCTCTGATCAGTGCTGTGTTGTATTTTGTAACAAGTTCCGATAGTGGCTCACTTGTCATTGATTGTCTTTCAGCCAACGGAAATCCCGATCCACCAATAATTCAACGTATATTCTGGGCATTTACAGAAGGAGCTTGTGCTACGGCACTTTTGAAAGCTGGAGGTGAGAAGGCAATCGATGCTCTTCAGTCGGTCGCGATTGCTACTGGTTTGCTGTATGCTGTCATACTCAACCTAATGTGTTTATCACTTTGGCGAACCATGCAAATGGAGGCCGGAGACTACGATCACTGCAGGAACACGTTTTCCTCTGGTCTTGTGTCAATATTTGATAAACCTTCCTGGCGACGACTTCAGGACATTCTTATCTCGATTGTGGCTCCATGGTGGCCAGCAGGCCGTGCAGCTGGAATGCTTTACATGAATCATCCGTGGCGCTATATGATTGTTATGGCAACTCTATTTTATGGCTGGGTGTTTTTGGAAATTTTACAAGTTGTTGAACCTGGCCTGGCGTATGTTGGCTGGGTAGTTCTTTGCTTCTTTTTCACCTACCTCGCTTCAATCAGGCTTGCCATGCGAGGACATTCTGATATAAAAGGCAGCATTATCGAGGATGCAATTGCCGTTTCTATCTTCTATCCACTGGCCATAGATCAAATGTACCGGCACATGCTTATAGAGGAAAAGAGTAAAAAAGACGACCCTGGCGCTGGTAGCTACCTTATGAAGACTGTTGATGAACCAGCCATTGTCAAAGATGGCAACGAAAAACAACAAAAACCAGAAAGTGTTTAGGAAAAAGATGAATATGATTATTATGTGTGTTAGTTAACTTAGTTTTGGGATTTTTGATAGTATCCAACTATAACAGTATGTATGAGTACATGCAAGCAATTTGGACGTAATAGCACTGCATGATTGTAAATAAGTAGATGCCACCATTTGCACTATTAGCTTTTTTTCCCTTTTTATTCAGTTAGTATTATACTGATATATTCTAATTGACATTACTTTTATACAACAGCACCACCAGTAGTAGGTCGTGTATTGATTTCATAGACCTCAGTGGTGCTCTCCACGTGCTTAAGCTGGTTAAGCAAGCAAACAGAACGGCAACATGGACACGAATTGTGCTAAACTTTTCTAAGTATTAATTATTTTATATTTGTGTGTATTCATTGATTTGGGGTTTTTGTCGTCAGGAGTTTCGCCGGTGGGAATTCAATCGGCGAGATATTTTTCATGTAGAGTTCTGTTGCTATTTCTGACTGGTACTATATGAATGTATATATATTATGTTTTAAATATTTAATTTTTCCTGCTGTCAGATAATTTTCTTAATTTTGTCTCATTTATATGTTGTTAATATATTTTAGTAGCTAGTAAGTTGACTAGTAACATGGCTTAACTTCATCATAATTTCGTGTACATACATACATTAATTAGTACATGGGTAATAATAGTCTGGTCTAGAGAGGGCAATTTGGAAAAAAAACATGCACGAGTAAGTTTATCATGCAGGGCTAGTGCAATTTGAAGTCTTTTAGTGTATATTTTTCCAAATCACACGAGAAACCATGCTAGTATTTATTATTATAATATAGCATTTGTAAATTCTGAACGCTGATTGGCTAAGAGCCTTGTTGATATAACTCAATGTCAACACGGAAACGTCGGAAAATTTCTTTCTTTATATTTCTTTGTGCTATATTATAAAACAAATATAAAACATTTTTTCCGTATTGATATACAGTTATATCAACACTCGTGGAAATTGGGAAAACTCGAAATTGTGTGAAAACACTCCGCCCTTCGGGCGCGTCGTGTTTCCACACAATTTCTCGTTTTCCCAATTTCCACTCGTGTTGATATAACTATATATCAACACGGAAAATGTTTTATATTTGTTAAATAATATACATAAAAAAATTATGTTATAGTAGCAGGTTCGTAGTCACTTGCATGTATACAAAGTGATTTACTCATTCTTTTGTTTGGTGAACATCTTTCGATAGTGTATTATACGATAAAATTGCACAGTTGCACTTCTCTTAGCCAATCAGAATTCAGTAATTTTTGCATGTATATCATTAATATTTAACAAATATAAAACATTTTCCGTGTTGATATACAGTTATATCAACACGAGTGGAAATTGGGAAAACGAGAAATTGTGTGGAAACACGACACCTGTAGGGCGGAGTGTTTTCACACAATTTCGAGTTTTCCCAACTTCCACGAGTGTTGATATAACTATATATCAATACGGAAAATGTATATCAACTATATATCAATACGGAAAATAATACAGCAATGTCAAAAGCCCGAAGAATAAGAACAATTTCCGTGTTACAAGCGGCGGAAAATTTCCCGTGTTGACATGGAGTTATATCAACACAGCTCTTAGCCAATCAGCGTTCAGAATTTACAAATGCTATATTATAATTAATATTTATCTTAATTGTATAGACTATTCGCACCAGTCCCTTGCTAGCGAGTATTACTAAAACTAAATACCGTCGTTGGTCATTCACTCTTCGCGCCAGACGTCAAGCGCATGCGCACGTTTTTGGAAATGGAAAAGACGGGAAAAGAAAAGCGTTTCCTATTGCGAAACGGCTGAAGGTAAAACATGATACTCAGTTTACACTCTCATAGTTTTCACTCACAGTAGCCAAAGGCAATATTTTAAATAATGTTTAGCTCAACTTTTTATTATCGCCCAGCTCGCATTGTGTAATTTTCACTCATTTTGTTTCGGTTACTGTTCGGGTTTTAACACATGCCATATAGGACACCAAGTCGTGAACCTGAAGAGTAAAAGCAAACAAGAGGTCCTAACCGGTCCAAACGAAGGGCCGAAACGTCGAAATCCTCTACTTATGTATTTCAGTCTGATGAGTATATTTAACAGTTTCCTGTATCAGAGAAGAACTAGTTGTCCAATTATGATGCCAAAATGCAAACAAAAAATCATTTATTAAAAAAGCTTTACATGCCATTATCAACAAATGACACGTGTGATTAATTATCATCTAGAAAGAAGGTAAAAAGAAACAACAGATATTTAAGAAAACAACACTATCAGCAAATCTTGCACTTGTCTTCATTGTCTTGGACAAGACATGGCCTTATCTCGCACGACTAAGTTGGCGCAACATTGGTGGGTGGTTAATGAGTAATAGTCTTGGCCACAGCAACCATAACCCTGAATTATGTTGTGTACTGTACCACAGCAGCATACTTCGTTTGCTGAATTGTATCCTTTGTCGCGACATAGAGCTCCTGGAAGATAGATAGCGGTATATTCTGAGTGTTTGTAGATTGATTATTAATTGGTGATCCTGGTAAAATAGTGACGGAATTGCATGTGATAATGGTAACTACCAACATCAGCACCATCGTCGCCATCATAATGATGGTGATGAAAGTGATGGTCATGTTGTGAAATATAATGATCCTTGGTGGTCATGATTGTAGTGATGATATTGGTCGTGGTGATGATGGTAATACACGTTGTGATGATGGTCATGAAGCTGACGATGGAAGTGATGATAGTGTTGATGTGATGATCATGGTGGTGATGTTGGTGGTGATGAGATGATGTTCATATATTGCTAGTGATGATGATGGTATTCATGATTGTAGTGTACATGATGATATGGGTTGATGGTGATACGTTGTGGAAATAACATAGTAATAGTTGTTGGTGGCATGTTAGTGGTAATATGACAATGATAGTGATCATGTGTTTACCATAACCTCTCCAATTGTTTCTACATTGGCAACCAATGACATTAAATAACCTACCTCTTACTTCAAACATAACTGCACATCGTTGATCAAACTGATTATTTATATTGTATGCATATACGACCGTGTGTTGGCCAATAGCAAACAACTGTCCCGACGTAGCTTGAGGTAGTACAGTGTTTCTTATCGCTTCGGAACATGTGGATAGCGGGGCGGTCCATGTTACAGCGGTGGTCGTTTCACCAGGCGTTACCCTAAAGGTTTTGAGAACTGGCAGTGGACAACTGCATTCTAGAGAGAAGGCAAGAGATGGGAATGAGTCACAAATACTGTGCTGAATAGTGAATATTAAGGATTTCAATATCTTCAACATGGTGGTCCATGATAGGAATTAGTTCTTGTGCAGATCGTACAATAATCAGTCGTATTTTATGTGCCAGGAATCTGAAAAAAATTGAAAAGACTTCCGCGATTTGAGCAAAGGCCCTTCATCAGGGCAATATATTTCCGGCGGTAGTGAGGTACAATAAACGCTATTATTATATGGCTTTTCAAAATTCTCAATTCTGATTGGTTGACAAGCGGTCGGTAAAAACCCATATCCGGACCGTGGTCCGTATTTTCCGTATCTGGACCGGTGTCCCGGATGTCGTTTATCTGGCGGAAAATTTTTGCTTTGCAAACAGAAATGTGTATAGTGGTTTTCTTAGATGTTTTACCTGGCAAACTTGTGTGTCATTAAAATTTACAGATAAAAATTTCAAACAATCAAATTGTTTTTGATTGAGCATGCATGCCTACCGTATATTGTTACCCAGTGAAACTGACGATAGCCGATTTAATTCGCGCGAAAAGCATATGCTCACAGACTCAGTTCAGCCATATAATAAACCGATTATTGACCTCGCTTGTTCGGTCTGTACTGTGAAATATCAGACCTTTGTTTTTTGCATGGACCTCGCTCCTTCGTCGCTCGATCCATACTAAAAACCCTCGGTCTGATATTTCACAGTGCAGACCTCACGCTCGGTCAATAAGCCGTTAAAGTGGAGTACCGTTTAAAGCTTAACTATTTTGAAATCAAGAAAATTATGATGTAAGCGTACGAAAAGTAAACATACAGTATAGTGAAAAACATCCCAGTTAAGTTAAGTTTAGGATAAAAATAGTAGGACTTACAAACCTTTGACTTCGAAGCGAACAGTACACGTAACATCCATTTGGTTGGTGGTCTGGTACAGGTAGTCTATTCTATATTCCCCAGGTTTAAACATCTGACCAGGACGTTCGTCTGGCGTTTTTGTTCGTAGTCGTCCACCACATGTAGGGCGTGGCACAGCCCACGTGACACTAGTCGTAAGATCACCCTCTTTCATGTACCTTGTACCAAGATTCACTGCTGGACATTTGCATACTAGAGATTGGAGAATATAAACTATCCATTTGGTTATTCTCATGCAATCTGATTGAGTATCGCCGTATCAGTTAGCTCACACTGTCACACTATGAGTAGCGACAACAAACCTGCTAAAGTTTTGCGAACAAGAAAACAACGATTGTTCGCATTTGTAGCCTTGGTGAAATTAAAAACACTATACGAAAAAGTCCAAAGCAGTTCAAAATCGGTTACAGACCGTAGCAAATAGTTATATTTACCCTGCATGCTTTACGCATATTATATATACTTACGAGGACCAAAGCACGGCTGATCTATGTCTCGTAAAGTTGAGCCTGCACAACACTGTTTGGTTGAGTTTGAAAAATAATCAGTACCACAGCATTCATAGTTCTCTCTTTTTTCATGGATCTTCCCACAACAACACACGTCCCGTCCAATCGAGTAAGCTTTGCCACTACATAAGTTTGCCCCTCGGACTAAATAAACGGCATAAAACGGTCACCATATATAGTAGAGATTCATCTGTGGCTGATAAATATATAACTGATGGCTGTCATAGAGCGTTCACACCAGGAAGCCTAACTAAATGCCCGACTACGAGTACCACAAAATCCTATATATTGAAGTAAAAATCAAAATTCCGCCAAGTACTGATATCAAAGACTCGAGTTTAACGACGGATGCAGTTGTCAAGGAAATTTGTCCTGGAACAATACAATCATGTTTACTTCTTACACCACATGCACAGCAGGAGAGACTAATTATCTTTATTTCAGTTCGCCTGAAATTATGGTTCTAGGTTGGTTGTAGAGCATGCAGTCGGCGTAGGTCAGTCCATGATGAGCGGAACGCAAAAGGCGAAATCGCACAAATTTGGGAAGGGTTTCAAATTCATCCAGTCCAGTGTGTACGAGGCCTCGCAGTTAACTACACACGCTGAAAACGCACAAGTTTGTTACAAGTCTGTTCACAAGCTGTTAACAAGATGTATTCGCACTGCTTGTCACAAGTTGTCAACAGGTTTGGAACAACTTGTGGACAACTTGTAACAACCTTGTCGAAATTGTCAGACTTGTTGCAAGGTTGTTCTGACAAGTCTGTGACATGCTTGATATAACAAGATTGTTACAACCTTGCGTTGACAACCTTGTAACATCCTTGTCATATCATGACTGTAACAAACTTGTTACACAATCTTGTAAAAAGGCTGATAATGCCATCAAGCTTGTTACAAGTTGTTAACAGCTTGTTTCAAACTTGTTACAACAAACTGGGAACAAGCAGTGCGAGCACAACTTGTTGACAGCTTGTGAACAGACGTGTAACAACTTGTTTGCAGACTTGTTACAACTTGTGCGTTTTTACGTGTGTACAATGCGTACGCTGCATGGAACATGCACAAAACGAATGCACCACGAGCGCTAATAAAGCATACTATTTTTTAATAAATTGCAAAGATTCCGAACGAACTATAACGCACGCATGCTGCATGTATATAAAGCCTCTTTTTCTTTCATCGAAAGAGTAAACACGCAGTTTGCTTGCATGTTGACTTTTGCGATGAGTGGAAAAGATAATTATAACTTCGTTTTGAGTATCGCTATATCAGGGGCCGCAGAACCGGGGAGCAATGTGGGCATGTGCCCCCACCCTACACTTTTTTTAAAAGTGAAAAAGTGCCCTTTTCTCTGGGCTAAAGTGCCCCATTTAAAGAATGAAACTGAAAGTATTTCTTGAATGAACGCCCTCTTTTACTGGAAAGAAAGTGCCATTTTTGCTGAGTAGTAAAAACTCTGTAAAGGCTATTTTCGACATTATAGAGACTCCATATTTTCAAAACTTTTCGTTCGGCTCATGAATGACATAAAATCGTTTGATTTTGGTCCTATACAGAAGTGCCCCTGCATGCCCCTCCACTTTCGAAATGCTTCCGCGGCCTCTGATCGCTATCAACTGTGTTGATGACATAGGAAAATTCCAATCCCTGCATTACAACTGTATTACTACTGTAAGTGTTGTGCCCATTATATAATTAAGTATTTTTATAAAAATTTTAATAGAACAAACCTTTAACTTCAAAACGGATATTACACTTCACCTCAGTCGCTGTTGTGCCGCTCACCGCCCTATATGTGTACTCTATAGTATGTCGACCAATATCAAACAGGTCTCCAGACTGGACATTTGGTATGACACTCGTCAGAGAAACTTTTGCGTTTGAATCGCTGCAGCTTGGTTGAGGTCGGCTATCCCATGATACTTCCCGTGATGAGCTGTCAGATTCAAGAATAAACTGATCGCCATGCTCCTCTGCCGGACACTTACAAGCTGAGAAAGAAAAGAATGTCGCGATTAATACAAGAGGGGGATGCATCGTGTGGGAAAAACGGAGAAAGAATACCACGATAGTTCGTCTGATAATTCGTCTTCACATTAATAGACGGACTATTTGTAAAATATCGGGTATGATTTATTAGCAAAACCAATGAGAAGCTTTATATAAGAAGACGCCCTGGTTCAATTAACGTAAAACCTCATAGCGAACATACTAACTATACTAACAGTTTGTTAAAAAATTTCAGAAAATTCAGTTTCAGGAATATTGTATGCATGCATCAATAAAATTTTATTTTCTGAAGTCTTAAAGTTAAACTATAGCTTATCGGAGGAAAGATGCATGGCTACTGCTACTGTGAAACCCATTAGAATAACAATATAATTCATTATCTATGTTGGTCAACGCTCATTCATAAATCTGGTCCTTCACCGTCACGTGTATATTGTATTTTTGCCAAATCCACCAATAGCAATTTCCAATTTCCATATTGTTCGAGTCACGGATAGATAACTTTCCTAAAACATTGCTATTGGTTAGTTGGGCAAAAATACAATACGCATGTGACGGTGAAGGACCAGATTTTTGAATAAACGTTAACTAACATAGATAATGAGTTATATTATATATTGTTATTCTAATGAGTGTCATATAGCCTTGCATCTTCCCTTCGATAAGCTACGATTAAACAGACGGGCAGAACAAAAACCAACTTGGGAGAGCAGTCTAGAACATAACAAAAGTTAAATTCGCTCAAATTAATACTAATCATACTTAGTGCGGGGGCTGGTTGACAAGATCCACGGACAAGTGTTTCTAATTTCGTATGAATATTATCGAATGTGGCCAGTACTGCTTCTCCTGGACTGGAAATCTTTCTCAGTGTTGCCATATTGACAGAGCCAACCCCCAACCCAATTATTGGCACTCCTCTGCGTTTTAATATCTTCGCTTGAGCGATGGTCTTTTGCATCACGTTCCTAACGCCGAAAGGTTCACCATCCGTGAGTAATATTATGACGTCATCATATTCACTACGGTGGTTCAATGGACTACGGTCGTTAAATATCTGAAAAACAAAATTTGGAATGACTTTCATTAAAGTGCCTCAAAATATAACAACCTTGGACAGTTTCAAAATGTTATCAGGTTATAGGAGTGCATGCATATGGTTTAATTAAACTCGAATCGGGGATTAAAATGAGAGATTGGCATATTAGATCAAGGTTATACGTTAGAGTAAGAAATGGGATTAGGAATTAATTAATCCCAATATAAGGCTAACATGATCTGATATTCGGAACTACACTAGTTTCTTTTATATTTTGATACCAATACACACCTCGCCGGCTTTTTGAAAGGCCACATCAGTTCTTGTGCGATCACCACTGACAGTATCCCAATCAAAACCATCGATGGCGTTAAGGTATTGTGTACCATAGCCTTGGTGGAAAGGAAGACGTATCTTGGTCTGGCTCACTGAACTGAATGCCAATATCGCCAAATGGGTGCCCTGCGGTGAAACGTTTAGTTCAGGACTGTGCCCGAGTTGTTTCAGAAACGGTTTGATTTTATTGTCAAAGTTGCTTTGGCCAATTGAATATGAAGTATCGAGAAGAATAAGAACGTCTTTTGTGCATTTATCTGAAACAAAATTGATGCATGTAATTAATTAAAATTATTTGGGGTGGTGGCACAGTTTTGCCGTTGGTGCTTTTTAGCGCTGCGGCTGCCAGCTAGGGTTCAATTCGTAGCATTCAGTTAAAGTGCTTATGAAAAGAAATTTTTTACCTCATTTTTTATTGTCTTATTAAAAGGTACTGCTTAAATGATGAAGAATGACGTTTACAGTTTGTTCGTATCTCATCTCATTCCCAAGTTATCGCACTTTCTATATTTTGAGTTGTGACGTCACTAGTTTGACTCAAAATAGTGGCAAAACAAGAAAATCTGTTATCTTGATGATCATTTAATAAAATTCAATGAAACTTGGCACACTAAGTGCGTGCAACGAAGTGAACAATTTGGCTTGTTTTTGTGGTTCTTGTGGCAACACACTCGTCACCAGTCCCCTCTCTTCCAATTTCTATATGATCCATTTCCAACGAAATAAATGGTAATTTCTGCAATTGTCGCTTATTACTATCATACGTATCGGTATTGTGACCAGTCTAAACCGTTATAACATACAAACATCCTCTGCAAGAGGTCTACGGGAGGAAATTTGTGAAAAGGAAGAGAAGAGATTGCGCACTAGTGTGTTGCCATGACAACCACATGACCTTCCAAAAATATTCATATGGGTGCACCCACTAAGTGTACCGAGTTTCATTGAATTTTATTAAATACTCACTAAGATATCAGACTTTCTTGTTATTGCCATTATCTCAAGTCAAACTAGTGACGTCACAACTCGAAATTTGGAAAGTGCGATAACTTGAGAATGAGATGAGATATGAAGAAACTGTAAACGTCATTCTTCATCGCCCTAGCAGTAGTTTTTAGCAAAGCAATAAAAAATGAGGTGAAAATTTCGTTTCATAAGCACTTTAACGAAAGTAGGGTTAATAAAAATAACAGTTCTTTCTCGTCAAAAAGACGAGCCAAGTAAATGCATATATACCATACGGAATTATAAGGAATTGATCAAATCGATCATCTCAATAGACGTGATGCTTAACTAAGCAACATCAAGTCATACTATATATTTAAAATTAGCTTTATATTCAGAAACTACAGAGCAAACATATTCCCTCTCCGTCCAATACCATTCCTAAATACTGTATTTTTTAAATAAACGTTTTAAAGGCACTGAAACATTTTGTTGCTATAGAGAAAGAAGCTTTAACCAAACAGACAAAAGAGTAATAAACCTCGTCGCGGACCTTACAATAGATGCAGAAGTTAAATTTCAAAATATAAGATAACGGTTTTTCTTGTAATTTGTTAGTTATAGCTAAGAGCTAGGGAGCAGTGAACGCAAGATTCTGTGAATACAATGGCTATGCACATTTCCCTGACCCTGAGACGTGTAGCTATATTTAATTTTTTCCAAGAACACGACGTATAGATGTATGAATGTAATTTACTAATGAACCGTAAAGCCAGGCAAGTGCATATACTAAAAGGAATAAAACTGATTTATAAAAGCGTAACCAAAAACATTTTCCATTTTCTGATGCCTTGGTCCGATAATCATGTGTTGGGCTTTACTATATACTGTATTTCTAAGAAATTTATTGTGCGCGTTTCACCACAATTAACCAGCAAATGTGATTCAGTTCTATTTTCGAGAAGAGGCCGTCAAGTACATGCAGATATTTGGTCAGTGATGTCTAGCCCGCCAATCCGAAAACCAATCCGCCATCCCCGATCTTGTTACCATGCATGCATTGGTTTCGCCATATGTTTACTTTGTTTTGCATGTCTAAAGACATATTATACGACCGTTGCTATGTCTAATTTGCATATCACGCGTGACAGTTCATTTTGATTGGAAAAACGTAATAGTATTGTCGTTTCATTGATAATATAAATAGTTTGAATATTAATAACCGCAATTGAGCAGAATGTAGAATGTTCTCGATAATTTGCGTAAATGTGAAAAATGCATAAATTGATTGTGTGTTTTCCCACATTAATGCATTCCGTGGATTCGGTGTCTAAAATTGGCAGTGTGAGCTTGAAATTCGACATTTATTAAGCATGGCAATTTTGCAGAAATACGCGATTATGTTCAATTTTATTCTTTCACCACACGATAAATAACGCGAAGTGACAATTTTGTTTGCGGAATTTGCCAGCTTTTAAAAATATGTTTGCGAGCGTATGCTGTATTGTATGCAGTTGGCCGTTATCTTTAATATGAACTATGGACCGATTCGAAAACATAGCTGTCACGTACCCTTTTTTCTTCGGAAATTAATATCAACCACTTAATCACTGCCGGTTTATCAAGACTAAGGGGCGGACCATTAGAAAAGTGATGGGGGTGGGGGGGGGGGGGGGGGCAAAAGCAGAAGTAAAAATCGAGCAAGGAAAACAGAAAAAAAAATTCGAGCACGAAAAAAGTTTAAAAAAATTCGCGCAGAGGCTTTTCAATAGGGAAAATTATAAGTTGTGTAAGGGTGGCCCCCAAATTTGAAAAATAAAACCTTTTTTGATATATGTAATGGTGTGAGAAAAAAGTTTCTAAACCTAAATATTGAAGATATTGGTGCAAAAAAAGGTTTTAAGCATGTTTTAACAAGAACTTGTGAGGGAAATTTTTTTGTAGCTTAAGTTAACTGATTTTAGTCCGGAAAATTTTTTTTGACCCTTTTTTTAGTGTCCTGAAAAAATGTTAACTCCCCCCCGATCGCCAACACTTTTCTGAAAAAAAAGTTCGAGCAAGGGATAATTTAAAAAAAAATTATCGACACAAGCAAAATAATTTGAAAAAATAATCGTACAGGCCAGCACAATATTTACTTGAATTTTCAATCAACTGACATTTTCCTGAAATATATTACCCAGAATTATTGGGTGTGTGACAAATTATGTTGCTCTAAACATATGAAAGCATAAAACCTCCCCGAACCGGATTTTATAAAAATGCAGCCTGCATCTATAGCTATAACTTATAAGGCCGTGATTCGTCGCATGCAGTAGTCTTGGTGGATCATGGACAATTATTTTTTAAAACCCTTTGGGTCTTATTTATGTGAAGTCATTGTATTCTTAGTTGCTACAAACGATCACGATCGATTGATAGTATTGCGGTGCCCGTGCCATTTTTGGCACCGCATTATATTGCGGTGCCCGTGCCATTTTTATGGCGCGTCATCGGTGTCAAAAATGTTATTCTATTTTAAGGGCCTGTTCATATGATCCCGCTTACCGGGACGTCTCGCTTACCGAGATGAATATTTCCGTGCGTTCATATGGAGTATTTCGTCCCGCTTGCCGAGATGAAATTACAATGTAGTTCTATAATTAGCGTATGCAAAACTTCTACATTTCAGTCAAGCAACACAAATACTTGGCGATTTTAGTGTTTTTCTTCGTTTATTTACAAGAAAAAGTATTGCTTCAGGTGGTTATTTAATACTTGTTTACAAAACAAACATAAAACCAAGTAAAAAGTGTTAAATTAAACCGGCAAGACTTGTTTCACTTCATCCCGGTAAGCGGGCTGGCGTGTTCATATGGAAAAATTTTCATCCCGCCTACCTATGATCTCGGCAAATTCAAACGAGATCTCGGCAAGCGAGCCAGCTCGCTTTCCCATATGAACACAATGCAAAATTTTATAGGAAAATAGATAGGCGGCGAGATCATCGGTAAGCGAGACGTCCCGGTAAGCGGGATCATATGAACAGGCCCTAAGATAAGATTTTCATTTTCATATAACATTATAAATTTTGGATAACATACAATTTTTCATATAACGCTATAAATTTTGGATAACACACGACTTTTCATATAACATTAATTATGATCCTTTGCGAGCTTACGGGCTGCTGGAGCACGTGGCCAAGGAACTTGAAATTTTTATAGTACATGCACATGTTTTTATACATCGCTGAATTTAAAATCTAAATATTTCGCAAATCCTAAATTATGACATCTTCTTGTGGAAATATTAGTGGGAACACAGTTAGCTATAGGGAACTTTTGAAAAATTGTGCTAGTAATCTACTAATCATGACGAAGCGTCGCTTGTTCTGGTATCCCTTTGACTCAGCATATTTCCGCTCCAGACCCAATCTCGTTCCCAGAGTATGCCTGTTCGCGGGTTAGGTTGTGGCATGACCTAACCCGCGAACAGGCATACTCTGGGAACGAGATTGCTCCAGACCATAAGCCATTTTTGCAGCTTCCACTTTAATAGAGAGTGGTGGTCGGTCAACCACTGTGAAGTACGCATGACATTCAACCTGACATTCAACATTGTGAACTCACTCATTTCAATCACTCAGAAGAAAAAATGAAAAATAAGCCATTTCTTCTCTTCCAAATGAATTAGAAAGAAATAAATCATACAGTTCGTATTAACTAATTAATACCTTTATGTTTTGTTGCACACAAAGCAACAAACGCGCCAGGGTTTATTTTAACGTGCAGTTCTACACAAAATGTGCAGTTCTAAATCCATTTGTGCAGTCCTTAAAACTCAAATGTGCAGTCACCAAACTAACAAAAATAGCCTTAATTAAAACAGTCGTCTCATTTACTCGTTACCCTTGTGGATGCTCCAGAAAATTCCAGAATTGCTGTCATTAATTGAGCATCAAAAATATAAACGTTTTCTGGGGGAGGACTCCAGACCTCCTATTTTCCTCACAAATCACTTACGAGTTACGTGCTGGCGTAATGGAAAAGAAAGTAAAATTGGGGCGAGCGAAGCTCCTCAAAAGAGATTAGAGTGGGAGAACCTAATATTCATAACAATCTTAAATTTGCATTTGAGGCAGTTACCGGGGGGTAATTGTTAGGTTATTAAGATACCCCGGTTCCGGTTTACGGGTACGAGTATCGCCATTTTGTTTACCAATTTTGCTGATGTCAGCAATTTTACCCGTAATTTCTACCCGTTTCCCCGTGGTAAACCATGGTCTACACGTAAACGACAAACGGGTACGGGTGTTTTCGGTTTACTATTTTTGAGCCGTTTAAATAGTACAAATTTTCAACATCTTACCTAAATAAATAATGCACATATGCTGGTCAAAGTTTTCAACAATTTATGGCGAACCTGAACAGCGAAAGTTGCCATTCTCTGATCGGTTTTCTCACGCCGGAATATCTTGGATTTCTTAAGTTACAAGTTATTCCCCGATTTACGGGTACGGATACGTGTATATCACCCGTACCCGTAAACCGGAATCGGGGTATCTTAACCTCTCTATTGTTACTGGCGCGTTTGTTGGTTTGTGTGCAATAAAACATAAAGTTATTAATTAGTTAATACGAACTGTATGATTTCTTTCTTTCTAATTCATTTGGAAGAGAAGAAATGGCTATATTTTTCATTTTTACTTCTGAGTAATTGAAATGAGTGAGTTCACACCATATCGAATATCATGTTGAATGTCATGTTGAATGTGCTCTGACGCCTCTGAGCATTTTCCTCGTTTAATAACAATCGCGACGCTTCGTCAAGATTACTAGCACAATTTTTCAAAAGTTCCCTATAGCTGTGTTCCCACTAATATTTCCATGAGAGGATGTCATAATTTAGGATTTGCGAAATATTTAGATTTTAAATTCAGCGATGTATAAAAACATGTGCATGTACTATCAAAATTTCAAGTTCCTTGCCCTTGGCCACGTGTTCTAGCTGCCCGTAAGCTTACAAAGGATCATAATTAAAGTTATATGAAAAATCGTGTGTTATCCAAAATTGAAAGTGTTATATGAAAAATCGTGTGTTATCCGAAATTTATAGCGTTATATGAAAAATCGTGTGTTATCCGAAATTTATAGCGTTATATGAAAAGTCGTGTGTTATCCGAAATTTATAGCGTTATATGAAAAGTCGTGTGTTATCCGAAATTTATAGCGTTATATGAAAATTCGTGTGTTATCCAAAATTTACAGCGTTATATGAACAATTGTGTATTATCCAAAATTTATATTGTTATATGAAAATGAAAATCTTATCTTAAAATAGAATAACATTTTTGACACCGATGACGCGCCATACATTTTTGGCACCGCATTATATTCTGCCTGTGAGTTTGTTTGTTTGTTTGTTAGTTTGTTCGCATCAATACGTTTCCTTAATCGCCTACCAAAGATTCCTTGCACGTGCTCGGAATTTATTAATTATTATTAATCGTGTACTCTCATGATGATCGACAGTTTACTCAGCTTTATCTCTGGTTTTATACGTCAAACAAGGACAAAAATGAAAAATACCACTGTTCGAATCAGCGTGAAAAGTTGTGTTTACGGATGGAAAATTAATTTCAAAATTGACTTCTATTCTAGCTATTTGTCGCCTTTGAAAGACAAAAGCCGCTCAAAATAATCCTTCACGTTTTCCGAATTCCTTTTTTTAATCACCTATGTAATTATACTAATATACATTGTAGTTGGTAAAAGCCATTTGATTGGCTAAAAGCTTACAGTTAAATCGCGCAATTTGCAACCTACAGAAAATTCAGTTATCTGCTAGCAGAGTAGCAGATAACTGAGTTATCTGCATATTGAGCCTGCGATGATTAGCAAGCGGTATCTATTTAATACAAACAAATGTATAATTCGGTTTTTGCGATATGCAAAAGTATCAAGGCCTCGGTAAGCGTTATTACCTCGACCTTGATAATTCCGTATATCACAAAAACCTCGTCCAATAATTAACAATTATTCGCCGAAGGCGAGGTGATTATCGGTGAATAAAAACCGAGACGAAGTCAAGGTTTTTATTCACGATATTCACCGAGCCTGAGGTGAATAATTGTTTTAGTATAATTTCATATGTGATTATTTGGAAAAAAATAAAAAATGCACATTTCTTCGTTTTTTAATTGACAAAACGGCTTCGGCCGCCATTTTGAAAATCGCTTAGGTGCATGATTATCGCGTAATAATCACCTCAAACGGTAACTAATTAGCGTGGAGAATTTTCAATAATTACCTATGTAATTATACGAAATGGTTAATACTGATTCATGCCAGAAAAAGACTAGTTAATATAAAGCTGTCATACGCATATGGTTCGGTTATGTTACCAGAATGCCAGAAGAGAGATTGCCTTCAATGGGAACCAAACATAGCAAACGATCAAGAGGAAAACCGAAAAAGATATTAACCAAAACTTTTATTAATAAAGTAGAGGACCGATAATAGGGGTCAGGAGCGTGACTATGGAGAATATATAAGGAGAAGGCAAATGATAAAAATACTTGACAATTACAAAGTAAAGGCTAGCCTGCAGGCATCTCAAACACAGATTAATCTAACTGACGCGGTGAAGACTAAGTCTATAATTCTATTAAAAATTCTTGCAACCTCTACACACAAAATTGTTACTTTGCGCATGTTATCCCTCGTAGCTGATAACTAATTACAACAGGTTTATAATGTTAATGATGTTTTCATTATTTCTTTTCATGTTAAACGAAGGCATAGATAACGGCTCAGATGGTTTAGTCCTTCATCGAGTTCTCGGTATTGCATGCATTAGAACGAATGAAGATCGAGTTGCATGAGGATAGTCAAAATCCATTCTATGTCCAATGAAGGTCCATGCAATTTCCATTCTATGGCCTTCTATGGATTTTCAATTTTTTTTCCAGTGATGCATTGCGTTTATTTAAACATGCTAACTTCGCATATCATATGGCTATTAATACAAGTACTGTACATGTATATAGGTTAACTACTAATATTATATACACTAATTATACAGAAATCAGAAAAGAAAAGTTTCCATGCATGGTTCGTACATAGAATAGGAAAAAGGAAAAAGATTATTCCACAACATCGACTCGTAAATCTTCTAAAGCTGCTCTTGAGAAAATTAGCTAGTTTTTGGTTTAATTAGAAGTTCTAGAGTTCCTAATTACATAAATTATAACTTCGATCTACTGCATGCATGCTTGCTTGGGACGTCATGATAACTTATTGTATAAATTTACATTTTTTTTGAATTCATAGAACTAGATTTAAAAAAAATCCCATCCATATGTTTTTAATCTTTGTTTTTGAAGTGGTTTTAGTCTTTTTCATGTATGATTAAGAACTATGACATTGGTATTCATGGAGAACATTACCCCCACATTTTAGACTACATGCATGTATAGCTATATATACAATAAATTTAAACCATCATCTGGATATAGGACAAAAAAGAGAGACAAGAAATATGAAGTAAAAAATATAAATACCGTTTGACTGAGCATTGGACAATGCATTCAATAAAGCCATTACAATCATGAAATTTTGAACTTTCCCCATTTTTCACACCAAGAAATCAGCTCAAGTGGGCAACGATCTAAAAAGTCGACTTTATACTAGAGCCGCTTCTTCACTTAACACCAACAAGTCACGATCTAAAAGATCATTTACTCCAGCAATTCAATTTATCCTGTAAATTTTGGAAAAACATTCCAAATATTCAAAACATTCTCCAGTATTTTGACTAAATTTGAAATTTTGAAGTTATTTTATTTTTTTAGCTCACGCACGCATGAAGACATTACCACACTAAGAGTCAAAACATTTTCTATTTAGTTGTGACTAAATTTTATTGAGTGACATAATTAAACGTTAGTTTATTTTCTCGATACTTTTAATATGCTCCATATTATAGTAAAATAGAAATTTCAGTTTATAGAAATGCAGTTACATAAAATGTGGTTAATCTGCGTGGCAAATTAGCGTATATTACTGAAAATGTTAAAAAGTTACGTAATACATACAATCTTTGTCATAACTGGTTGGCGAAAAATATGAAGGCATTTTTCGAATTTTCCCTTACTACGGCCGTAGTATGTGTACGCATGTATATTTCCTAAACTCTTTAATTAACAAACGATTAAATTAGCTACTAAACCGCATGGCTGGCCCATGGGGCATCAATATCACATTTTTTAAAAATCTTGAAAAGAAGAGCGTATTACTATTAGCGTAGTATACAGTAGATATCACATACAAATGGTAGTGCCAAGGAAATAACTACCTCAAATATACATGGAGATCAGAACTTATAAGTTTCCTACAATCCGAAGCTTTAATCAGATTTTAAATTATCTGGCTGAGTTTCAACCTTGAGTTTCTTCACATGCATGCATGCATGAAACACTGCCAGATGGGTTTTACTGCCTATAGTACTATACGCCGATTACATTCACAGAATCAACTGGCAGTTATCAGAATGCGACTGAAATAATATATACACTTATAATCACTGGAAATTTTTTTGAAAATCCATAGAAGGTCATAGAATGGAAATTGTATGCAGGACCTTTGTTGGAAATAGAATGGATTTTGATTATCCATAATAATAATTGTATATTTGCATATACTATGGATATATAATATCGAAATAGTATGGATATACTATGGATTTACTGGTGCAATTGCAAATTTCATAGTATGGATTTCACATCTTTTTCCCAATGAATCTTTCCTCGGAACTGGAAGACTACTGGAGAGCTAAGCTAAATACTAACGATTCTCGCTCCAAGACCAAACCTCAAAGAATTTTCAAGTAATTCAAACACAAACGACCGCCGGTTAATGTAAAAGATAAAAGCCGAAGTCCCGTTCATTACTTGAGTGAATAGCTAGTACCCGCTGGTACTAATAAAGAGATAAAGCCTTGGTGGTGCGTTATCTGTTTATATTATTGTGACGGGAGGTGTCCAATATTTTGACTAACATGCAGTTACTAATTAACGTCCAATATTGAACTCAATGCATGGGGTGCATACACTGTGCCATGCACAACATATTAAACAATTATTGAAGTCGGTCTTCGTATGATATCGATAATTATCAAGGCCGATGTTTGTGTTATTCTCGATAACAACGAAGACCGAATTCAACAATATCAATACACACATACCAAGATAGCACGCAATCCTCCCAGCTTTTCGGATATATAATAAAACGAACGCAAAGCCATCTTGTTTACGCTTTTAAAAATATGGCATTTTTACGCGCCTTTTAGCAAACAATGGACGCGTCGGTGCTTGGTAACCACAGCGTGCAATAATACTTTCAGTTTTGAACCGATCGTCGGTTTTGAACCGATCATCGATCGTTGATGGCGTCGCAATTTTTTTTCCGTACTCCAGTCGGACTCCTCATTAATAGTCGGACGCAACCTCGTTCCCAGCGCTTCTCGGCTGCCTATGGGTCGGACGCATCATTGATCCGCGTCCAGGCCTCCGCGCGTTATCGATCGATCCCTTTGCACCCTTCGTAACCCACTTGTACACCATATATCCATCACTCCACGTTGTCGTTGTTCTTCTTCGATCACATGTAGAAAGATGAACGATTTGCTTCGCGATACCATAGCAAAAGATCAAATCGACAAACTTGTTTTTCTGGTTCCGAAAATACTCAAGTACTGTTATTGCAGCATGAGCTCCACCTTTGAATTTACTATATGAGTAAATTCTTAAACACGTCCGAATTTATCATTAGAGACCTTATGATTTTAGGACGGCAACGCGACGACAACGGCTACCAATACAATAGATCATTGAAAAGAATTGAAAAATTACAATATATAAATAATTTAGACATTGTCCTCGCTCTGTTTACAACTCCAAATCACGGATTTTCACGTCTTGATAGAACGGCTGCATTTCAAGCCGCAACAAGTGCAACTTCAATTGGGTTCAGGAGAATTCTTCCCAACCATAAAACCCATATCTTCAACTTCTAAGACTGTATTAAATTCATACGATTGATAATGTACGACGAATTATCTTTAGACTTTACTACAATTTATTTGAAGGAGTTTGTTCTGGCCCTCGTCGTCGCGTTGCCGTCCTAAAATCGTAAGGTCTCTATTATGATAAATTCGCGGCACATTTTGAATTTATCATAATAATTAATTCGGCAATTCGCGGCACCTAACACTAACCCTAACCCCTAACCACTAACCCCTAACCCTAACTTTTTAAACTTTTTTAAGCTTTTTGAAAATCTAACTTTTTAAACTTTTTTGCTTTTTAAAACTCTTTTAAAACTTTTTTAAAACTACTTTTTGGAAAATCTTGAAAATCTCCCTACCCCCGCGCGACCAGCCTTACTCATAATATAGTAAATTCAAATGTGGAGCTCATGTTGTGTTATTGCGAATTAAAACAATATATCATCCCAATTGAAGAGAATCAGTATAAGATAACTTGCGGGCAAGGAAATACTGGAAGATTCAAAGCAACCATCAAGACCACTTTCCACAACTAGGAAGTATTGCAGAATACCCGTCCACTAGTAATATCATATCATGTAGCACGGTCACTATTTCACTGGATACGTATAAACCAGATCTTAGGGAGTGGTCATTATTTATGGGGAGGGGGAGTTGGGAAATGGGAGGGGGGGGCAAATGAAGTTTTACCCTTATAAATAGGGGAGGTCAAAAAAGTTTTAACACAGAGAAAGGGGGGGGGTCATAAAAGTTTTTGAACTTAAATACCATGTCTAGAGTTCTGATTTCTATAATCACAAATAGCAAAAAAGAAGACTCTGAAAATGCTATTTCCAACGATCTAGAGACTCAAAATTTTCAAAATTTCCCTGCTCGGCGCCAACCATGGTAGCGCCTCGCGATCGTGGGAGTCGGGCCTACTAACTCTAACCGGCTTTCTACCCCCTGAGTGACCCAGTTGTGGTATTTACATAAACATACCATGCAAGTACACTTAACTGATCAGATTCGGTCTATCAACGCACAATGTAACGCTGTATATCCAAAAATCTGTTTCAGAAAATGCTCACATTTCAGTTCTAGGGGTGGAAAAATACAAAACATTTTCTTGGGGAGAATACCCCCAGACCCCCCTACTAGTCCATACGATACCACACCAAACTTTTTGTCACCAACAACCATCTGTCATCTCTCCACACTCAATATAGTATGGTCCCTTTTTGTAGATGCCCACCCCCCAGACAAGTTCTTAAAAAACCCTGTATCCAAATCATTTTGCTGTATGAAGACAGGTCATGGGTTAGGGTTATGGTAGGACAAATGTTGCATTGCAAAGTAGTAACACATAATATATATTTTTAATCATATATGGTTGAATCATATTCACCAGGATAAAACATCATGAGCTAGATTAAACATATTGTCCTAATATCTAACTTTACCTGCAACGCACACCTGTTTCATTGCTGTTAATTTTTCAATCCACACTGGGGGGCGGGTCAGAAAAGTTTCTACTTTTATGAGGGGGGAGGCACAAAAAGTTTGCCTTTAGTCTGGAGGTGGGGTCAAAAAAGTTTTCAATCCTTATTTTCCCCACCCCCCCCCTCCCCATAAATAATGACCACTCGCCTCGTTCTAATACTACACAAACTAATTATTAAGACAATATTACGAATTGATACTATAAAGGAAATATTATGCAAGAATTTTAACGTTTGATACTGTGCTTAGTATGCTTTATAATATAAAATTATTTTTTAGAACATTGCAATGGGCAATGGCAACCTCGAATCCCATGACGAAAATCGGACGTCAGCGTGAGAAAACATGTAAACGATTGACAGACGATTTCTTAATTCAATTACGCCAGAATCATGCATGCATGCCTGAAAACAATTTAGTATAAAGCACAAAGCCACAATAATGAATTGACTGCGTATCCACGTATCCACTGCACTAAAATATAGAGTAACGTATAGACAATTTGATCCATTAATGCTAACTAACTGCATGCCTCGTGTTCTCAAAATAACTATACTTGACAGCGTATCCACGTATTAATGTTAAGGTCGCTCAATACAGTTTTTAAAAAATGGAAAATTCACGATTTAGATGCGTATTTTTGGACAATTATTACTTGTTGATAAACAAAAAGTACCTTACTTAGGGACCATTCATTATTTATGACTGGGGGTGGGCTGGCAAAAAAAGGGGGTGGTTCATGAGGTACTTCATGAGGTGACCGAAAAAGGGGGCCACCTAAAAATATTGGTTCAGAAGGGGGGTCCAGTTATTTATTATTGCTGACGCAGCGAGCGAGCCTGAAGCTAGCGAGCAAGTCAGCAGTTCTAATTCGTATTGGGGTCTGAAAGTAAGATTTTACTTCCGTTTCTCCGACCAGAATGCACTGCTGTTAACCGACCGGAATGCATTGCTGTTAACCGACCAGAATGCTTTGCATGCATGATGCTATAAATACGGGGAATCTCATTAGTCAGTTTATAACATATCTATGGTTTATAACGATGCAGTTCTTTTGGTGTATTTTGTATTCATTGTATGCTCTGTTGATTTCTGGCTGGTCTTACACTATATATACTGAATTTGTTTATTACAAACAATTTATAACGCATATAAAGCGAATTTATGCGTTTGTGCTCTTCGCCTTATTTTCTTTTGTCTTTTCTTATTTCATTTAGCACTTATAGGTCTTAGTCTTGTGTTTGCACGTCTGAAAGCG